GAAGGAGAAGGGGAAGGAGAAGGAGAAGGGGAAGGGGAAGGGGAAGGGGAAGGGGAAGAGGAAGGGGAAGGGGAAGAGGAAGGGGAAGGGGAAGGGGAAGGGGAAGGTTGCTTTCAACCACATCGGTCTCTTGATTCTGTTTTGCCATGTTAACCTAGAAGTGATGCTGCTGGCAAAGACAGCAAGGCTGGGTATGATGGACAAGGGGGAGCAGGACAACCTCGTGCAGTGTCTGTGCTGACTTGGAGTTTTTGTCAAACAGTACCTCCTTCAGCTCAATCGTTTATTCCAAGTAACACCTCCTCCTCAAGAATTCTTTGCATTGCTGATACATGTCACATGGACTCAGTGTGGCTTGTGACATCTCACCCTGGAGCTGTGTGTGTCCAAGGCTGACTCACACTGCCTGGGATGCCACGTAAAAGTCCTGGCCACTGGAGTTTGACCCACAGTTAGGATCAAATACTCAGTGATAACGAATGAGAAGACCTTGCTGTCGCCCGTCTGAAAGGCAGGAGTAAAGCAAAAGTTTATTTACGATTACAAGTTCCCGTAACTAAACTGGTAGCACAATGAAAGTCTTCATCCAATTGAAAGTTCTTTGATTACAGTGTTTAAAATTGTGCCTTCATTAAAAACTCAGCAGGTCAACTTCATTTGTAATTGTAAACACTAATAAGTAGCACAGGAAAATCAGAGCAGCCTGGAGGATCTAGGGATGGTGGCTGCTTCTGGGATGAGGGGCAGGATCCATCTCATCCCTTTTCCTTCCAGGGAGAAGATAGACTTGTGAGGCTCTTCTGTGGGACCACCATTCTCTGCTCTGAGCACAGACAGAGAAAGCCCCCAGGAAGCGGCATGGGGCCATGTGCTCTTTTCCCCGGGGCTGCCAGAGAACCAAGTGTTGGCAAATGACTTCTGTGACAACTTTGGTTAGAAGTTTCAGACTGATTTTATTACGTAGTTACAAGAGAAACTGGGCTATCCGAGTAATTAAAAAAAAGATCCTAGTTGCTGGCTTTGTGCCAATGCTGTTCCTGGAGTTTCAGCCCCTTCCTTTCCCTCTGGTCTCAGCAATGCCTTCAACTCCTTCCATCTGTGCACCTGTGGCACTGAGGTGAGCCAGACCAGGAAGCCAATGTGCCAAAAAATGCGTCCCTCCTCATGCTGGGTGAGCTTCAGACAGCTGCTAGCAGTGTTGGAGGAGCCCCAGTGACAGGAATACAAGGTAGAGAGACAGGACTGGGAGTGGGGCATGGTGGAGGGGAACGGGGCTGTGTCTGCAGCAGCACCAAGCTGTTCAACAGGATCCACTGTCATGTCAGACACACCTTGAGTTACACCATGCCACCACTACGGCTGGCTGTGCAGGGAGGGTTGGTTACCAGCAGTTATCTGACATGTGGGCGGCAACATGGCTTTCTCATGCAGTTGTCTTCTTGTCCAAGGGCAGCATTACCTGCAGCCTTACAGGAAGCGTTCACTATAGAGAGATTCCCGTCAGTTTCAGAGGTGGGTCTGAAGGGCTTGAACTTCTACATGTGGGCCAACCTGCAGGGGAGTTCCTGTCAGATGCAGTTAGGGATGCTCAACTGAAATGATAGAAGCATAAACCATGAGCTAAATGTGCATACCTGTGCAGCAATGTTACAGAAGGAGCTGAGCTAGTTGGCATTTTGGAGTGAGACTGGTCTCTTCTCAGATAGAATCATAGAATAACAAAATAATTAAGCTTGGAAAAGACCTCTAAGACCATCTAGTCCAACCAGCAGCCCATCACACCATGCCCACTGCCCACATCCCTCAGTGCCACATCCACATGGTTCTTGAACACCTCCAGGGACGGTGACTCCACCACCTCCATGAGCAGCCTGTGCCAGTGATTCATCACTCTTTCAAAGAAGAAATTGTTTCTAATATCTGAACTGAAACTTTCCTGGTGCAACTTGAGGCCTTTCCCTCTCATTCTATCACAGAGGCCAATCCCCACATTGCTGCTACAGACAGGTGTAAAGAGCCACACCTGATGAAGCTGGAAAGGCTCCCTTTGAAGTCAACTGGAGGGAAACAGGCTTTTTCAGGATACAATTCACCCCATCCTGATGTATATAGATACAAGTAAAGGTTATAAACACCCTAAAATTTTGAAGGGCCTTTATCCCCATAGGTGTCTATTTTTAAATGAGAGAATGGTGCCTGTTTCTTTCCAGCTGACACTCTAGAGAGCCTTCGGTGGCTAATGGGAGCACACACTTGGCCAAATGAATCCCATCATTTCTCTCCTGGGACATGAGGGTTGAAGAAATGCAAGGAAATATTTCTGAATGTTTGCAGAATCATAAACACATTCTCATCATAAAGCAGTAGCTAAAAATTGCATCAGACTTGAAGGGAAAGGTAGTGATGAAAGAAGGAACTGCATTCCATTCTCTGAAGGACAAAGAACAAAAAGCTTTTGAAAGAAAAAGAACTGCCACAAATTCAGCTTTGTTCTGGATTGATGCAGATTTTTCTATGCAGCATGATGCTGACCGCACAGCTGCTTCTTTAGAGCTTAGCTGTAACACCTGTAATGCAGTCTGTTTTGGTTTGTTTTGACATTAGAGTCTTACAATTTTATTTTATTTATTTTTTTTTTTTTTGTAGTTATTGTTTAGGAAAGTGTTATTTGGCTCACTTCAGTGCTACAGACAGAAATTACTCAATTTTCATTCTGAAGACTAATCTACTCTTATGTCTGTGTAAACACCCAAGGCAGTAATTGCTCAGCAATAGCCCTGCTCTGTTCAGGCCTCTGACAAAGACCTCCTAGGTCTCTGTCACAATGTTTTGCCAGCAATGGGAAACTGCCAACACACCTATGTCTCCTGGGGGTATGAAGAAGCAAAATCCTCACTGCTGCCAGAAGAAACTCCTTGTACAAACACAGTGATACTTGCAATATAGCCCTTCCATCAACAGCACTTACTTCCTTCAAGAGGTGGTGGCTCTGCTACAACAGTAGTACAGGAAGGTTTATCAGTTTAGCCATACCACAGGAGGGATGTTTTGTCAACAGAGAGCACCAGTTCCGCACCTCTTGCACATCTGGTACAAGAAATGGCACCTATTGTACTGACCTTGATGTCTGCACATTTTATTTCTTCTAGCAAAACTTTTGACTGCTGATTTAAAGAGCCACACGTCATCACAGCCTGCTAAACTTCCCTTTTGTTATCTTATTAAATAGAACTTAATACATCCAAGATTCTTACAAATGTGTAAAACGTGCTTGAGAATATATTATTATTCTTAAACATTCTTCCTTAGCTTTGGGATTAAGCTGGAGTTTAGATGAGGGGCACAGTTGGCCATAGCATAATGTTGCTTAGCTAGTTTCAGGCAAAAAAAATGCACTCGTTCTGGAATACTTTTGAAAAATACACTCAGAGAGCTTGTTTCTCCTTAAGAAGAGTGTGTATTCCCTTGCCTTCCCACTTGGGAAGATAAAGCATGCAAAACAAAGCTGTCATTTAAATTGGGCTGCTAATATTTGATCCTCCGAGGGTTAAATGGTGTCACTGAACAGATTCATTTCCTCTCTGCCAGAGACAGAACTACACTGTATGAAATAATCTGTTTATATTCCTTTCCCATTCCACATGGACTTACAGAGCACATTAACATGGCTGTGTCAAGCACTCTCACATTCCTTTAGTAAAGAGCAATTGAAAATTAATTTTTTGAGAGGGTTGTGGGTTTTTGAATGGAAGCGACCCTCTGAAAATTTTGCATTAGAGAAGTAATCGGTCTGGATACAAGCCTCTGTCCTCTAGAAGCATTTTCAAGTGTTTGGAGTGATATTCCATGTCCCTGGAAACCAGCTATTCAGCAGATTTCTCTGAGTCTTGTTGGGACAAATGAGATAGATGCTTAAGTTGGGGTATACACTTCATGGGAGAAAATTTAGGCTACTATTTAATAATCAGTTTGGATAATGTAAAGGCAAATGCTTTTGTAGAAGAAGTTTTACGAAGCACGTATGCCTGTTGGACAATTGCTGGGAGAAGAACTCACTGACAGCTCTTGTAATCAATGTGTAGATGTGGCACTGAGGGACATGGTCAGTGGGCATGGTGGTGGTGGGCTCATGGTTGGAGTAAATGGTCCAAGTGGTTGCACAGGAAATAGTGACAAGGTTGGTGATGAGCTACAAAAGCTATTTTCAAGTCACAGGAGTGGAAGCAGGACACAGAAGTCAGGAGGGAAATAGGAGAAAACAGGGAAGGGAAAACAAGCACTGGGGAAAGAGAGCAGAAAGAAGAATTTCTACTTGCCTACTCTCCCTTTCCTCCATGTGCAGCTTTGCTTTGCTCTGAGGACAGCTGCACAAGCCATAATTTGAGGCAGGTCCTTTCCCTGACCCCTTTGTATTCTCTGCTACCTAATTTCCTCGAGCTGAAACAAACAGGAAACATGTTTGGAAGGTCTATGTGTCTGTCTATATGTATTTATATGGTGCAGGTGATGAGCTAGTGGAGAGAACAGCCTCACTTTGTGACTCCACTGCTCTGTGTCTGTGCTGCAGTAGAGCATTTCCATGTTGTTATTTCAATGCTGCTCAATGTAAGTTGTCTTCCTCCTACCAGCCCTGCAATGAAGGCAAGCACCTTCCCAGACCAGGAGTGCAGGCTGCCTACTGGGTTTGGCAAGCAGTAATTTCAGAGGAAGGTTGGCAATGCACTGTGCAGAAGGACTGCAGAAGGCTCCTTGGCTAGAACAGAGGGATTGCAGTGAAAAGTTCCCAAAGGAAATATAGGCCATGATATTTGCTTAGCAGGAGAGCACTAACATGTGCCAGTGACTTCTTGCATCCATCCTTAATATCTGGCTAAAGTAACATTTCCATATACTGTAAGAAGAAGATGCCTCAAGTTAACTTCCCTTAAAGATGACGACTCAAAGCTTTCTCCTGTAGCTTCCTTCCAATGACTGATGCTATTGTTTACCCCCTTACTCACAGATGTTTCCCCAACCATTTGTGCTGCCATCTGTCTTCACATGCATGACCTCAGCCTCTGAGTGGTGCAGGTGGACATGGAGCCCCATCCCTAGATTCCAACCATGGTTCCCAAAGCATTTCTCCAGCTCAGGCATTGCTCAGCAGGCACAGAACCAAGCTGCCAAAGGAAATAAAAGGTTATCTAGTGGTGAATGGGGAGTAAACTATAACATCTGTACTGCATGGTGATTCAAAGGGAAATAGAAGCATGAAGGAGTGATGATTGACACTCAGTGCTTGAAAGACATACAAATAAATCCTAGTTAAGTCTCTCTTCTACGTGGATCATTGCCACCAGTACTCAGATGTCAAAAGATACTAACATTCAAAATGATTGCTGAGATGGCAGTTCTCTTCTAAATCTATATCTTACCTTTGGCAGTGACATTTCTCTGTTGGCCTTGACTTGGAAGTGAGAAACTGGGGACTTCAGAGATTCCATTTTAAACAATGCTGCCCAGCACAAAATAGACTCTGCTGTTATTCCAAAAAAATGTGTGCCTGCCTGACATTTTCTAGCAAAGCTGCTGGCACTATGATTTCCAGTCTTACGATTTTAGCAAGTTGGGGAAAATACGGAAGGAGAAATACTATATAGATAATAGGACTGAAGAAAATTGCTTTGTATTTAACAAAAATTTCATTTCAGGTTGTTTATTCAGGAAAAAAAAAAAAAAAGAAAAAAAAAAAAAAAAAAAAAAAAAAAGAGGAATTACTGACAACACAGATACTCTATTTATACAGACTTTTGAAATTACTCCTTCATTAACAAACAATTGCCTGATTTTATTAAAAGGGGTTATTTGGAAACATCATACAGATCCTACGTAGGTATGATAATACAAATCTATTCTATGTGAGCACTGTTTGGATGTGCTCACTGTGAAGCACAAAGCCCATCTCTACTGTTACTTGTTACCTGTGCTTGCATTTGTGGCACTAAAGCTGGAGTAAAAGTAAACACTCGTGGGGTTGCAGACACAAGGGTGGGATGTGAGCAGAATAAATCACAGGAGTTGTGGTAACCCAGGCTTCAAAGAGCACGCTTACAACGGCCAGAATAAGTTGGAAGTTTAAAAACCAAGGATTTTTAAGATCAGTGAATGCTTGGACGGGAGTGGAAATGCTCTGCTTCTATGCTTCTGCAGTGGCAATGGCTATTCTGGAACGATGACATATAGATTGGATTTTTTGCCTTGGAAACACAGTTGTAGATCAGTCACTGAATTGCTATTAACAGAAAGACAGAAATTTTGTACAAAACAGGTACCCCATGGCTGGAACGGGGTCACAAGCCATCACTCCCTTTTGCTCAGAATCCTGTTAAAGTGTTTTCAGTGAACGGAGTGATCATAATGGGGCAGCTGTGAGGGCTGACAGCAGTACACTCATTTAGAGAGTCGACGAATCACTGCTCTCACAGCAGACGTGCATCCTCTAATGAGGATTTAAATGAATCCCTTTTAGGAACAGTTCAGGACATGCTGTTAGACGGCAATTCTCCACCTAGCCAGTAACCTCTCTTCTGGCTTCATTTCAGCCAAGTACTTAAGCACATGCTTAATGTTAACCACCTGAACTGTCCCACAGGATCCACTGCAATGACTCATGAACTAAAGTTAGGTTCCCGCTTGCATATCTTGCTGACTGTGGGTTTCTGCAGCATCTACCGCCAGATGTTTCAGGGGGAAATGAAAGAAACTCTGTAGTGAACAGTTAAGGGAATAATTTACCAACAGGGGAAACTCTGTATTGCTTCCAAATATCTGAAGTGTGATCTGATGTAACTATGTATTTTGGTAGTCCAAACATAGGTTTAAACCACTTTTAGTCCAAATCAGGTATTGATCTTTTACGTTTATCCTGGTTTCTTTGGTAGTTCTTCAGACTGTCTACATTAGTCTTCATCAACTTTGGGTTTTTGTCCCGATTTGTTTATGCCCCAGTATTTTCAAGCACATACCAATAAATACAGTATTGCTGGCTAAGAATGTATGACAGAAGAAATGAAAACACTGTGCTCAGGGGATGTAACGCTGTACTGTGAAAAAGGCTAAAAGGTGGTGTGAGATCTCTGGTATACCTCCACTTTTGCAATTCATGCACAGCTTTTCTTTTCTTTTTTCCTCTCCAAAATACTCGTCTTTCATTTGGGTTGTCTTCCAACAGCTCCTTAATGGAACTCAGCACAGTCTATGCATGAACAGCACAGTGCTGGGATAGTGCTAACACGAGGCTTCAGCCTGCAAATCTCACAATAATTTTCTATGCCATAAGAGGCGCACATTACAATAAGGCCTTTCATTGTGGTTATACAACACCACACAATGCCCCACAATCGTCTGCTACTTTCACTGGAGCATTATTTTAAATGCAACCCAAATGACACCAAGCTGAGTGGTGCAGTTGACACAGTGGAAGGAAGGGATGCCATTCAGAGGGACCTCAACAGGCTTGAAAGGTGGGTCTGGGTGACCTAATGAGGTTCAACACAGCAAAGTGCAAGGTTTTGCACTTGGGCTGGAGGAATCCCAGGCATCCATACAGACTGGAAGGAGCGGTCCTTGAGAGCAGCCCTGCAGAGAAGGACCTGGGGGTCCTGGTAGATGAAAAACTGAACATGAGCCAGCAGTGTGCTCCTGCAGCTCAGAAAGCAAATGGTATCCTGGGCTCCATCAGAAGAGGGGTGGCCAGCAGGGACAGGGAGGTGATTGTCCCTCTCTACTCTGCTCTTGTGAGGCCCCTCTGGAGTACTGTGTCCAGGTTTGGAGCCCCCAGTACAAGAAAGACAGGCAGCTGTTGAAGAGGGTCCAGAGGAGAGACACGAAGATGATCAGGGGGCTGGAGCACCTCCCCTATGAAGACAGGCTGAGGGAGCTGGGCTTGTTCAGCCTGGAGAAGAGAAGGCTGCAGGGTGACCTCATTGCAGCCTTTCAGTACCTAAAGGAAGCCTACAAGCAGGAGAGGAGTCAACTCTTTACAAGGGTAGATAATGGCAGGACAAGGGGAAATGGTTTTAAGTTGAAGAAGGAAGATTTAGGTTGGATGTCAGGGGGAAGTTCTTTACTATGAGAGTGGTGAGGTGCTGGAACAGGCTGCCCAGAGAGGTTGTGGATGCCCCGTCCCTGGAGGTGTTCAAGGCCAGGTTGGATGGGGCCCTGGGCAGCCTGGTCTGGTATTAAATGGGGAGGTTGGTGGCCCTGCATGTGGCAGGGGGTTGGAGATTCATGATCCTTGAGGTGCCTTCCAACCCTGGCCATTCTGTGATTCATTCTGTGATTCTGTAACCCATCCTGCAAATCAGCACACAGCACATGTGCAGGACAACTCCATTATGTGCTCTAAAGCAAGCCTTGCTTGCTAGGACTTCCTGCCTGTTGTAGAAGTACTGTTTATTTGCCTGACTTCTGGTTATGTGGAGTTTTAGAGAAAAGCACTTTCCAGTCATGTGAAAGCCTCTGTCATAAGCAGACTTGTGGCAGGCTAACACAACCTTAGAGACAGAAAGTGAATGATTTATTATGGGAATCCCCTTCTTTCCAAGCACAGCTTTCTCTGAAGGCCGTGGCTTCGTTTTTCCCTGGTGCCACCTCCAAGGGCTTTAATTTTCCAAGTGATGGTGACAGGATAAAATGGTCCACCTCCCACCTTTGTCACCAGTGAGGATTTAGTAACTAGTCAAGAGTAAGGTACATGAATTCTGGCCTTCCTTATCATACATAGGGACTCAGAAACTGCCCATGCACTACAGTCTCTCCTTTTATACTAGTGTCTAGCAAAGCCTATCTCCACATTAACCCATGAGATAGTACAGCACTGATTTCTGATCTGAAAGAGCAAGTAGATATTGTGAATATATACATTACTCTTGACTAGTTAATTTCATTCCATATGACAGACCTCTCTTACTTGATAGCATTAGAAGAAAAACAAAGACTTGCTGTTACTGTGAAATACCATAGTTATTGCTAGTTTCCATCCAGTAAAACCCTTCCTACCATTTACTCAATCCAGAGAAAGATCATGGTAGTTGTGGATGAAACATTGACTGACATTTTGGAAAATTCCTCTGCTGCTGTAAGAGCAGAGGAAAGGAATAAATAGACACAGTTCTTCAGTCCAACCAGATAGCCCTAATTGCCTAAAAAGTCCTTAGAATGCATATTATTTTTATTTGTTACTCGGTTTGCATTCTGTTTACATGACTAAATGACACACCATGATACTAGAGACCATGGCTATGGGGAATTTGCACCCTACTCTGGGCTGCTGCGGATCGGGCTGGCAGCTCTTGCACAACAGCAGGGTGACCTGGGCAAGCAGTGGTTGAGCAATTGAGCAATTGCCCTGCTGGGATCTTTATGACGTGGGCTCACTCTCCTGCACAGGTAAGTCAAGAGCACCAAGAATTTTATCAAGAAATAGTCCTAGGTTCACCAACATAAAACTGTTGCAGGGCACCATTTAAAATGTACTTTCTTGTGTTGGGACTGCCCTAGCTTCCAGTGTGCTCAAGTGCCTGCATAAGGTGTATAGCCACCTTCAGAGTCACCTTTCCTAAGCAGCAACCTCTCATCCTGCCATGAATGAGGAAGAAAGAGACAAGCTCATGGCTTCCACGTGCAAAGAGCAGTTGCATCTTTCTCTTGGTACTAAGGACTGGGGCTATGGGTCTGCCCTGATTGGACTCCTATCCATTAGGATTTCCTGCATATTACAACAAGGAGATTCCTTACTCTGTTGACCTGTCTTACTGCTTTAGGCAAGAATGTTTTAACATGGAAATGTTGCAGCTTTCTAAATTACGTCACAGTTCCTATTTTGGACTGCATCCTAAACATTACCTCTGTCCCATATCAGGTTTTGATGCCGTAGCATGGAGGTCTTCAGTCACTTCCCCATCTCCAGTAGCTCCATGAATTGGGAGCTACTCAGCAAACATGAAAAACGCAAATAGCCTTGTACCTCCAGGGAGTTCAGCTCACATTTGCCTATTGCGGTTTGACTGACAAACCAAAACATTTCCAGTGGACCTCTACCTGTAGGGAGGGTTGGGAGATTTTAGGCTACATTCAGCCCCTTAAGACCTAATCAGTGAGGTCTCTTTTCAAATGTATC